CGTGATATAGAAGCGCGAGTATAGTCGGCATGATCCATAGAGCTTTAAATATTTGCTCAACATACGAATCTTTAGCAATAGAATTCGAAAATATTCGCCAAATTGGCTTCCACAATGGTTACTCTAAATCATTTATCGACACTCGAATAGGCACCGGTTTAACTAAATTTCTCAACCCATCTATAACCAATACCAGCGTCAATATGGAAGAGGAAAAGACAAAGATGTATATAGAAGTACCATACACTGGCGCAACTACAAAACCGTTCACCAAACAATTAGCACGAATATCTCAAAAACTTCGTCCTGATCTTGATGTTCGCTTTTACGCCAAACCACCACCACCAGTCCAAATTCATTTTAACACGAAAGATCCAGTACCAAAACACCTACAGTCAAACGTAGTGTACTCTGTTAAATGTGCTCATTGCGATGATTTCTACGTCGGTGAAACCGAAAGACAAATCATCCGCAGGCTTTGGGAACATGGTGCACCAAAATCACTATTTCAATCAAACATAATTTCACTCGATGAAACAAATAATAACCTAAATAAAGAAAACAACAACAATCAAACTCAAAACACACAGATACGCAAAATGGGACAACATCTTCATAAAACAATGCGTCAAAGGGCAACACCATATCCTACATCAGAGAATCGAACCGAAGCAACAATTCGTAAATCGAGAAGAACTACAGCAAACAATCAATCCACAACAACTTCTTCATTAAACAACTCAGGGAGCGCCATATCTCGTCATACGATCGAAACAAACCACACAATCGACTGGGAACATTTCAAACTAGTATGGCAGGACGGAAATCATCATAAGCTACTTACCAAAGAATCTCTCGTTATACAAGCTTATCAACCACAGCTCAACCGCACAACACATTCCAGTCCAATGTACATCTTTCCCGAAGGTCTCCCACAAACTTTAATTCCCAATCCTCAGACTAATCAATAAAACCAAACAAGTATCACACAAAATCCACCAATTAATTGAAAGTCGAAACGTCGAAAACGTAAAAAACAAGAAATCAACAATTTGTTTTGAAGTCATCAACGAAAACAAAAAAACTGTCTATTCGTTATCTCAGTCTACCACTTACAAGAAATATTGAATTAAAAAAATGATATATCTGTCGAATTTGGTCTGAATGCTGTAGATCCTGATTATCAGAGTCGTGGCATATGAAAATTGATGTTCAACGTAGCAATGGTAAATATGACAATCTATTCTATTTATTTAATTAAGAAAAAATTGATATTTTTACTATTCAGCGTCTTGCAAAAGAATATTTCAATGTTCAACCTGTTTATTCTCATACAATATCAACTAAACGAGATCAAATTGAATGGCGTCTTCGACAAGGTTTTATTGAAACTGAACGATTTCAGTCGTTGCCACTTGGAACACACTCCATATCAAAAGTAGAACTAGAAGGACTAAAGTTTTCCATTCTAGTGAAACGTTTATGATAAAATATACGCGTTTGAAATACCTAATAATACTAAAATGCAAAAAAACATAAAATAAGCAATAAATCTTTTTCCTATAAATAATGAAATGCATCAATCTGTAAGAATATCTAACTTCTTAATTTTGTTTTCCATTAACTGCAGATACACCTTCTGACTGATAGTTGTACAGATATTGGTAAGTTTATGGAAGACGGCAAATAAATGAAACACACGAAATGAGTAACAATAAAATCAAGAAAGAAGACATACAAAAACAGAATCATAATCAGATGATTAATCAGAAAACTTTATGGAGAAAAATCTCTTTTCTCCTGTTTAATGTACATAACAGAATTTGTCAGCTAATTCTGTCAAACAGATGTAAAACAGACATGACGTCGAATTTCAATGATTCAGCAATGCAGGATTAATGCGACGCGCTCATACTCCGGGAAAAAGCTTTTTTCGTCATTCTTTTACGTAGATAAAAATGCCGTGCTTGAAGTTACATGCCAATGTGTATGTATATATATTCAAAACTTCAGAAGAAGAGTACATTTCAATTGCTTAACATTCATCTAAGAAAAGATTCTAGTACACATCAAGGTAAGTGACCTTTTCAAACTCATCTTTCGACTCATATATATATATATATATATATATATATAACGAAAGCCCTGATCTACTTTGTATTATGTTCTACTTCTAACTTTGAATGGTTTGAGAAATTAAAAAGAATTGTCGTACAAGATAGAATAGATTTCAGGTGAAATCGAGCTTTTAATTGAATCTGCTGTTGTCTTTGTTACAGGAAAACGATGCATAAATGTCCAAAATGTTGTTGGGTTGCATGTGGCAATGTTCAATGGAGATGTGACTGTGGTCACCAATGGCATACATTTGATACTCATGGTCAATGTCCAAACTGCAAGAAAAACTGGGCAGATACTCAATGTCCATCATGTCATCAATGGTCTCCACACAATGACTGGTACAGATGCTAATTAAACGATCGATTATCATTAAAAGACTAATGAATCCTTTTTTTTCTAATGTCTCACCACTATCTCTTTAATCACGAAAATTCTATTAACTAACAATGTTTTCTATTCATTTAAATAAACATTCATACCAGAACAAATCGAAATCTAAAAACAAAATGACACTTTGAGTACGAACTCAGTTTTTCCAATATAATTTTACTGAAAACATTCTAAATACTAAAATAGTCGGTCAGACATGGATTAACAACATACTCAATGAAGAAAAAAAACGAGAGGATAAACTGTATAATCAAGTTGAACACGTGCTATCTCAGTAAAGTATCATCTAATTATGATACTTTCGTAGTCGAACGATCAATAAATCATTTCATCATTTCGATATTTGACTGATAACTTCTTTTCTGTTCATCAATTTCCAAAAGAACTCAATTAATATCGATCTTTATCATTAGTAATTAAATCGATTAATTCTTTTCAAAAGAAACTAGCCAACTACTTTCTTTTCCATATAGATTTCCTAATTCAATAATAAGAAAAATTCCTTGTTCAGTTCGACTAGGTAATGCATTCACATGTGTCAATTGTAATTTTATATCGATTATTTTCTTTTTAGAATCATTCTGTTCAGTTCCATAACTAAATGCTGACGTTATCCTTTCAGTAAAAGATCTTCGTATCATTTGAATCGTTGAATAATGTAATGTAAATACATGCTTTACACAATAATTATGTTTATTAAATTGAAAACAGAAGAAAGATCTTCGACTAAGACGTTGTGAAAATCTATCAAACATATAATTCAGACGATTTGAATTTTTTGGATATTCACCATTCATGAATAAAAATATTGTATTAGTTACTTGAAAAACTCATCTATGAATGTTATATTTCGATAGTATTTCGATAGTAAAAGTACTTAACAACTAGTTTAATTACGTTTATACAGTAAGCTTACGATTGATTTGTATCTCTTTTCGATTTTTCATGTGTTTTGATGGTGTATTTGCACTTCGCCGAAAGAATTTTTGTCGCAGAAAATTTTTCATCTCAGAATACGCCGCAAAAGTGAGGGTGATGGTGAAAAAAATCTTTCGGCGCAATTCTTTTCGGCGCCGTGGTACACAATCATTTTGATGAGTCATTGAATTACTTTACTCCGATTGAATGAGAAAAAATGCAGTGACGAAACGCAATGGGAATATATATTTATAAATGGGATATTTAATCTATCAGATATTTTTAATGACTTATTTGAAAATAATCAAAATATGTACTTTTTAAAAGATAAAATCAAAGGTCGATTCTAGTAGAAAAGATGTTTTATTTTGATGGAATATTTTTTCGTTCCATAGGTGCAATAGTATTAAAAGTGCATATCAATAGAAACGTCTGATTCAAATCTCTGGTATTATAGCTAATCTTTACTGATTTCTATTAGTAATTCGACAGTCGTCATTACGAAGCACTTCATAAATTTCCCACACAAACACGCATATATTCACATACATATAATCAGATTTTAGACAGATGAATAATACGATGGGAGAACAAGAGAAAATGTACGTGTGTTTAATTTTGTTTGTCATTAGCATTTCTATGGCTACAGCACAATGCTAAAGTGTGAGTATATAAATGAAACATTCGACACCATTTTCTATCATCATATTTATTTTCAAGTATGGCACAAAATTTGAAAAATGATGTTAAAGCTGGTCGTGTACCAATGCGTGGTGTTAATTTGGGTGGATGGCTGGTTGCTGAACATTGGATGACATCAGCTTCGCCTGCTTGGAATGAAGTTCCTGAACATATTGCTAAGCTTGGTGAATTTAAAACAATGCAACATCTCGGTATAAACAATACTAATTGCTTTTGTTTCACATCATTATAATTGAAACCTTTCTCTTCTGTTAGGTCATGCTAAAGGTGATTCTCAATTCAATCAACATCGTGATACATATATCACTGAAGAAGATTTTCGTGACATAGCTAAAGCTAAAATGAATACAGTTCGTATTCCTGTTGGTTATTGGATTACAGGCTTCGATAATCAACCTGGTGGTGATCCAGATGGATGGAAAGTGTATGCACCAGGTGCTATAAACTATTTAGATCGAGCTATTCGTGAATGGGCACCTCGAAATGATATACTCGTATTGATTTCATTTCATGCAGCAAAAGGTAGTCAAAATGGTAATGATCACAGTTCACCAGCCGATCCAGGCAATTCTCATTGGTCTCATTATCCAGAAAATGTTCAAAATACAGTAGATGCTGTCGAATGGTTAGCAAAAAGATACAATAATGATGCAGCATTTTTAGGTATTGGACTGCTCAATGAACCAGAGAGTAAGTAGTAGTAATCACTGTTGATTTGATTTTTAATACAAATTTAAATCATTATTTAGAAACAACGAATGAAGAAGTTTTAAAAAAATATTATCATGAAGCTTATGCCCGTATTCGTGCATTTTCAGATTGTTTATTGACAGTATCACCTTTACTTTATCAACAAAAGCCACATGATAGTGATTGGGCACGTTTTATGCAAGCACCTCAATTTCAGGGTATTCGACATGAATGGCATCGTTATCAAGTTTGGGGATATGAAGTAAGATAGAATATCATTCTTTCTCGATGTATTCATGATAAAATATTAAATTGCAACTTTTCTTTGTAGGGTTGGGATAAAAATCGATTGATCAATTATGCTGAAAATGACTTGAGAAATGAAATAGGAGCATGGACAGGTAATTGGTTATTTTTTGGTGAATGGTCTGTTGCATCATCAGCTTCTTTTAATAATGATGATTTACGTCGATATGCTCGTGCTCAAATTGATGCATATGCTCAATCATCCGGTGGTTGGACATATTGGACATGGAAATTCTATAATGATAACCTTTCAAACAATGGTTGGAGTATGAAAGCAATGCTTCATCATGGTATCATTCAACTTTAAAAACTATTCAAAAAAAAGAATAATCTAAACACGAATAAATTAGTTTCTAATTTCTATTTTTCTCAAATATAAATAATCCAGAAAAAAATCAAATCTCATCGTATGATTATACAGATTCAATCAAGCGATAAAAGACAGAAATATTTACATATTGCAATAATTCCCTTTACTGAAAGGAGGGTTATGCGTCGAGCTGATATTACAGAAAAAACGAGTTGATATGTGTGTGTTCGCTCATTCTGATCGGTTGATTATAACTTCTAATCCTTTTCCGGCATAAGGGTCGACCGAAGGATAATCGAGGGTGAGGAATCCGTATTTGCTGTTCGTTTTTGTGAGAACATTTTTTCTTCTTTTTCTGAGACAGAGGACTATGTTTTATACAAAACATAAATTTTTAATACGACTTTACCGAAGGTTTTTCCGGATCGAGAAACACGAATCTGGTGTTAGTTTTTACATAGTTGTGCAACTTAGTGGCTCTGTAATGACTTAGAATACAACAGATTCGAGAGAAATTTCGGAACAGCTGAAAGACATTTGTATCTTTGTCATTGTACCCTATGAATCATTGGGGTGTGCGACATTATGAAAAGTGAGTGAAGAATGTACTGACCAATACGCTCATTTGAACAGAAAAGAACAGTTGAATCATCTGTTTATCCAGAACCATTTTAATTTAGTTCAAGTGTTAATGAGTAAATAATTCGACAAGTGACCCAAGTGAAGGGACTCGTTCGGCTCTTTCATATAGAAACAAGATTCTACGGCCCTACTAATGTAAAAATCTATTCAGCGCGCGTACATTAACAACAGACTCGTGTGTTTTCATCCCAATAATCTTTCGATAAAGTTACATCGAAAAGATGAGATGCCTTTAGGTTTTAATATCTTGTCCTCAAATGGTCTTTTGATCCTGCGAGCATACAAGTAAGCAGACAATTTACATTTGTAAAATCTTCCCTTTCGAAAGAGAGAATACATTAATTGGTGAACGTAATACAAATATGAATAGACGAACAAACACAAGTATTGCCGCTAGAAAAATCGCTCGTTATCTGGTAAAACATGTAAACGACGAGCCGTTGATGTTCAAGATTACTGTAGATTTGTAGTGTTGAAAGAAAACTCGGTAGCTGCGAGCTTGTCGTTTAAACAAGTACATTAACATTCCTATTAGAAAGAAGTCGATTGATATCGTATTCTCGAAAGAAAAGAAAAATTAAAGGCTGTGATGTATCCTGAGCAATTTGCCATTATATATCAAATATTGTCTGTTGTTAGTAAGACATGCTATGAATGGCTTAGTTTTTTGTTTGAGAAAATCCCGTACTTGAAGGATAGTATAGATTCAGAAATGAATATGAGATCATCTAGTTGCCTGTGGCCGCGGTATGCTAGTTTTATCAGGTGTTCAATAAATGTGAATTGAGATCTTTCGAAAAACAGCTACAGAGTTTAACATATGCGAAAACAAAGTCTTCTTCGCAGTTTAACCTCTAGCAAAATATATTTGGCAAGAAGATTATTAATGCGAATGTAGAATTTTAGGTTAGCAGTAGATTTAGAAAAGTTAAGCATGTATTTGCCTTCTCCTGGAACTTTTAAGAAATTGCTTATAGAGTAATAGTCCGATGACTATAATTTGAATGTGCAAGTATGCAATTTTCTGAGACAGGAATTTCGGAGAAAATGCTTTTTTAAATAACACTATCTTGAAGTCATTTTCAGAAAAGGATCAACGAATCTGTACACTGAAAACAAAAAGATGTTCCACGAAACCTTCTTCGATTTTGTGTAAATTTAATGTATATCAAATGTTATCGTGCAATTATACGAAGTCCATAGAAGGTTTAGTATTATTCAAAGTTTTGTATCAAACCTTTCTAAGTTCTGAATTGTAGAAGGGGTTTTGTCCTGAACTATTGTCGGCATGTAACGGGTGTCACAAAATGAATGAGCTTCTCCGTATTTTTCATTTTTCTCCCCTATTTTTCGGCATAAGAAAACAAATTTTTTTTATCAAAAGATTCCTCGTCAGAATTCTCTACAAATGTAGATACTTTTCAGAGATGGGCACGGTTCGATCTTGTTCACTTCGGTTTCGGTTCGGTTGAGTTTCAGCTTTAATTGATTTAACTTAAAAGATTACCGGTATCGATTTTTAAGTGATCGGAATCGTATTATCGTATACCTTTATTGCTAGATTGGAAGTCTAGGAAATGAGGGGATATGATGAGAATCAAAGAAGGTCATGTTCGAATATATAAAAAGAAGTTTCTCTCTTTATGAAATTACTGTACAATGACAGAGTGACGTCAATATCTTTATAAGTATACTATTGTGCAAAAGTTCTGGTATCGAAACTGATAGTTTCTGATTAAAGATGACAAATTCGTTTATAGGAACTTGAAAATTCATATTATATGTCTTCGTATAGATGCGTTCTGATATTGAACGTATCTAGAGAGGAACATCCTACTTCATTTTTTGAAAAAAAAAACTTTGCAATTCTTTTAAAGCGTTACGAATGCTATCTGAAATTCTCTATGATTTTTCAAAACTTGAAATTGCTCGCTATATTTTGAAGTGTTCTTGGATGTCTACCGAAATTGTTAAAAGCTTCGCATCTCATTGAAGAAGAAGCGCAAGTTTTTTGATTGATTGACAAAGTTATACATCTGGTGTAGTGATTGTTATCGTTATTCTACTACTGAAACTCTTTAGAATTCTTATCATTCAATAAAATTTCTTCACACAGATAGTTTTGCATTGGAAATAGAAAAGATTAGACACTTTCAAAAAATGCTTATACTTCCTAGGACCATAAGATGGGGAATATGAATTTGCAGCAAATTCATTTAATTTTAAATCAGAGTGATTCGTAGTAATATGAAATAGAAGGACATCATTGTGGTCATTGTGATCATTGTGCCCGATAAAATTAAATACATATAACTTGTGAAGACCTTATTGACCACATTGACCACAAGAATTACTGAGACTTTACATAAGTCTATAGCCTGTGTAATCTTTATAAACTAAATACATATATTTTATGAAGACTTTATTTTGACCATAACGACCACAATGATCACATCGATGGGAATGCTAATATAATGCAATAACTGCACGAGATGAACAGTCTGATTTCGAAAGGATATCATTTGAATAGTTGAGCTAAAAGGTTCAAAGAATCAGACTACTGCGATATTTCGTTGTTGTTGGAATTCTGATTGCCACGACAGTGGTAATATCACTAAGCTGATATACGACTTTGTGACCCGTAGTTTATATGCGTTTCAGGATTGATATACACAGATACTTGCTTAAGACAATAGTTTTCATATAGTTTATGCTTGCAATCGTTTAGTGAAATCGATTATTGACTCAGAGAAAGTCTGGAAATTGTCGAATTTTAATCCTAAAATTGATTTTGCCGCAAAATCAAATTCCCCATGAACTCCCTAAAACCTAACTGCTTATACGAACGAAATGAATAAACTACCATTGATGTTAACACATTTTATTTGTTACAACAAGACTTTTCTTACACATATATGATTCGGTTTGGATCGACTCGGTTATACTTTTGACAAAATCAGTTCGGTTCGGTTGAAATTTTTAAAAACATGGAGCGTGTCCATCTCTGTTCCATAGGTTGAAAGTGGACCCCTAGCTCTACTAACTGGGCGAATAAAAGGATAAAATCACATAAAAATACGCTCTCCAAAAATCTGTTCTTATTATTGTTCTCAAGAAACGATATGATTCGTCAGTTCTTTGATCGATCTAATATGAGAGCACCCAAGTTGTCGTCGTCGAATCTATGGAATCAATCTTGCGCTGTATGTATAGAGAATACATCCTTCCCCATTGTACCACATATGTTGTTTGTTGCTTCCGTTGCTTGGTTACCCAAACGGAATTTAGGAAGCAAGAGTGCTTGAAGCTCTCGATGAGATATCTTCACTTCTGATTCGAGATCAGCGCCCATGTCCATAATCTCGTTATTATTCAGAAGATCTTCGCACTCTATACGTATATATATATATATCCTGAGTATGGAAACTTCTAGAACTTATTCGACTGTTCTAGGAAATTTAAGAAAAAACGCAGAAAATCTCTTGTCAACCCAATAGTATGAAGTATAGAAGACAAAAAAGAAAAACAAGAATGTTTGTTCGCGAAGAAATGAGTACAAACATGAAATTCATAGAAAAACAACTGTATGTGATGAAATTATCATATTTTGAGACAGGTATATTGAAAAAGAGTTATTTCTCAACTACATCGAAAGTCTCCCAGTTGCCGGCATTATCTCGATCTGCCGTTAGTTCGCTGTTGCCAAAATTGCCAGCACAGACGTATTTTCCATTGACTGCTATGAAAGCAACCTTGCCATTGCCGCGATCAACTTTTCTAAAAGTTTCCCAGGTATTGATTTTTTTACGACTGGCTATCAATGTGCCGTTACCTCCATTTTCGGCACAAACGTATCGCCCATTGGCATGTGATTTCAATGCAACATTTCCTCCTTCGAGAGTGATCATATCGAAAGTTTCCCAACCAGCGACAGAATCGCGGTTCGCGATCAAGGAATCTCTTCCTGCGTTTTCAGCACAGACAAATTTCCCGTTAGCATTAGAACGAAGAGCAATCACTCTGTACGCTGTTTCTGACGGTCCAGAAGCAATTCTATCATTTGCAGTTTGATGAACATCGGATAAGACACTTCGAAAAAATGCACTAACAATATTTCTCATGCTTGAACTATCGTGTCCTGCGTTTTTCACTAAATCGTATTGCACCTGCTTTAGTCCAACGTTGTCATAGTTGTCTTTCAATCGTTTCGCCTTCTCCAAACGCTCTTTATCCAAATCACCGATACAGATTTGAATTGGTAAAACTCTCATAGTTTCCCTATCAATATTATCTCCATTGAAAACTGTTGGAAGATTTCCAGTTCCTACAGGCCAGTTGCTTTGAAAATCTAAAGACAAAGATTTGATAAAGTTGCATCTCAGAAGTTGGTTTTGCCAGGGCCGATTAGAATTCGTTTTACCTCACATCAGTAGTCGAAAAACTAGGTACCTTCTCGCATATTTTCGTTTCACCATGGATAAAAGCAATGTTCGCAAAAAGCTATCACCACTCAATAAATCAGTTATTCATGCGAGGAAATTTATCTGTCATATAGCTTTTTTCTGCTCTTGTAGATAAAAGAAAATACACTTTCAAGCCACAAAAATCATACAATTTTAGATAGATCTACATAGTTCTCCATAAGGCGAATGCCTCAAAAACATCAAATAATTACACGGATAAAAATAGGTTTTGACTTAAGAGAATTTAGAACCTAAAAGTCTAGCTTTTGAAAAACAGTCTCGTCTTGTCTTTATATTCGGATCCTGTAAATGTTTTTCACTACGATTCAAGAAAAAGAGCGATGTGACAATTTTGTTGAGTTTTCCTCGAAAGCCTCTTCGATTGGCGAAGGTGAAAAATCTCTAAATTAACGATAATTGGTTACATATGTCTTTTATAAATCATCTGACTCAATTTTTATGTCATGAGTACAGACCACTGCTTTGCCCTGCGTCAAAAATACGCTTCTCAACAGTGAAAAAACGTGCACGTGACAGAGCCTCTGAATAGTTCGTTTATACATAAAAAGCATGACTTTAGTTCACCGTAAAAAAAAAGAATGGTGAATAATCTACCCTACAAAAGGATTTATTAATATCATGTACCCTTCATCAAGATTTCATAAAACCCTTTTTTAGTAGATTCCACTTTTAGGTACTCTTTTAGGGTATATGACAGTTCCACAAACCCTTTGAGGGTTTGTTATGCGTTGCACTTTCATAAACCCTTGCATGCTTATAAAAGTAGTAAACTCTTTAAGGATTGATGAAAAAGAAATAGTGAACCTTAAAAGGGTTTATGAAAGTGCAACGCATAACAAACCC